CTTAAAGTCAACAATGGCTTGGATTATAAAAAAAGCACATATAATATACAAATAAAAATAGGTAATTCTGATTTTTCATATTTCTTAACATATGCAAAAGAAAATGGGGCACAGGTCTATTTAAAAGTTATATGCACCTGTGCATATAACTCGTATTAATTTAATTAATTGAATTGAATTTCATCATTAACATTTTCTCTTCATTGTCAAAATGATAAACATGGAAGGCATGTACTATAAAAATACCTAACCTACATCACTCTAGAGGAATGAAAAATGATATCTAATGTGTAAACCCAGAAATAATAAGTCTAATAAAAAACATAAAGAAAAGCATCTATTAAGATTAGATATGCAGCTAGGTGACTAATAAAAATGTGCAGTGAGTGAAGGATTCAGATCCAGGCTCTGTGTCTTTGCTTTTTTATACAGACTATTCATCCTACAGCTCCAGAGTAGTTAATTTTTTTCCTTTGATGAAAATATCATTAATTAGTTTCCATGATGAAAAATGGTGATTTCTATATCATAAAAAATTTTAACTTTTAATTATTTTTCTCAATAAGTTTCTGTACAATTATAGATTTAGAGTTTTAATAAATCTATCAAATGAACATTTTAAAATATCCCATATAAAGCACATTCCATAATAAAATGCAGCTGAATTATTCTATATTTTTAATGTTAGAATTCTAGGAAAATACCTGAAAAATAGGATTTACTAATTTATTTACCATTTGGAATCATGTAAAGTAAAGGTCACTTAAATAGAGTTAAAGCCTGTGGCCTACATAAAATTTTTATTATAAATGATTTTACCATTACTGTAAAATTATTATTTATATTTAGAATCATAAAGTTTAGGTTTCGTTATTATTATCTATTTTAGATTTATTCTTTCCAGGAAAAAATATTCACTAGAAATTAGACTTTTGCGGGAGCCCTCTTTACCAATGCATCTAAACTGGTATGCATTGACATGGCTCAGTGGTTAAGCACTCCTGAGTTAAATCCTCAGTACCAAACTAACTCCAAGAGTAGTCATGGGTATGATTTACTACAGAGCCAAGAGCATATAAACATTTTGTTCTAATCTAATATTCAACAGTCAATAATTGTGCTTATTTTTCCCTGGGTGAAATAAATTTCCAGACTCCCTCCCAAGAGAATATATATTATCAGCAATTCCAAATCCCCTTTATGCTAAGTGACTTTTCTTGATATATCCAATTTGCTATGCCTAATTCCACCATAGTATGTGACAGTCCTGAGGATTAAATGCAGGGTCTCACACAGGCTAGACAAATGTTCCACAACTAAGCAGTATTTGTAATTGCTTTCGTTATGTAAAATAAAGAGGAAAAGGACAAGACAAGGTTATAGGTTATAGACAAAAATGATTTTAAAAATGAGTAATGATATTACCTAATGACTTACTAATATTAAATTGGTGACTTTACAATATAAATATTTAGTTGGGAGAAATTCTATACTTCAATTTCTATACCTCTTATAAATTCCTGGCTCCTATTAAGTTTATTATTTGACCAAGACAAGTTTATTCTTTGAGTTTGATATTTAAAATATAAAAAAAATTAAAACTCGGGTCACTCTAAATAAAGTTTGACTCTTCCTTTGATTTGGTTGCCCCTGTTCAATCCAATCCCTCCTACTCCAAATAGTGACAACAAATCACACACCAATTGGGATATCTGGTAAGAAGGTGCTTTGTCCCTGAGCTTGGGAAGAGGCAAATTCCAGAATAAGGGCCACCAGCTGGGTGGAATCCCCAGAGCTACAGTGTCTGAGAGGCTGGTAGGGTTCAATATAGTCAGATAGATCCAGGTAGACCAAAAATAATTGATGACCTCTGTCACATCAAAGTTGGATTTTAAAATGTTTCATGTTTTGATGCAATTGGTTTGGAAAATGTCAGAATGTAGAAAGATTGGTGGAAGTAGAACATCATCATTAGGCAGGAATTGTTTCAGTTAAGAATTATCAATGGTAGTCCCGGTGTAGTGGTACATGCCTGTAATCCCAGTGGCTTGGAAGAGAGGCTGAGGCAGGAGGATCGAAAGTTCAAAGCCTCAGGAATTTATTTAGGCCCTAAGCAATTTAGGGAGACCCTGTCTCAAATGAAAAAAAAAAAAAATGGACTGGGGCCATGGCTCAGTGGTTATGCACTCCTGAGTTAAATTCCCAGCACCAGGAAAAAAAAAAAAAAGAATCATCAATGAAAGGTGGTTGGCAGCTCATGCTACAGCCCCTAGCTTCTCAGTTTTCTTGAGCTTAAGGATTCAGGGTCAGGCTGAGCAACATAGTGAGACCCTAACTTTAAAAAATCATCAATGAATTACAACAGTTTATTTTATGTACTTATTTAGTTTCTTTTTTGTGATTCTGGAGATTGAACGCCAAGGCACTTCACCACTGAGCTACATTCCCAGACCTTTTTTGTTTTAAGACAGGATCTCATTAAGTTGCCCAGGCTTCCCTCAGACTTGCTGAGGCAGGCCTCAAACTTATGTTCCTCCTGCCTCCAGGTCCCAAGTTCTATTGCATTGATTTTTAAAATTATCTAGTTGTCTATATTTTCCACTAGATTCAAAAATTATTGAGAGCAGGAACCATGTCTTTTCTTGGACTACTGACCCATGGGAGTAAACCAAGGTACATTTGCTGAGCTGTTTTATTTTTTTTTTAACTGCTTTGTGTATTATCCTCTGATTCATCTTCTCCTTGGCAGAGTCAATGCCACTGCTTTTTAGTTGCCTCCTTTATATGACACAGTGTAAATAGAGTGTCTTAGGTTACATTGTTGAATTCTTTATTCAGAGACAAACCTATAGGAGTTCCAGCCTCTGAGTCCTTAGGGATTTAGGAATAAAACACAGTCACAGTAGTGACTGAGTCCAAAAGATGATGGCTTAAGTAACTTCCCTATTCACTGTAGCCTGTCTTTCACCTAACCAAGTGATAATTATTCTATTGATTCAAAACATTTCTTCCCCTTAGCAAGCCATGCATGAATAAAGAAAATTTCAAAGAACCAAGAAACTTCTGTGAATATAATAAGGTTTTTAAACAGTTACCTTTAAGTATAGGAGTTTGCATTTTTCCTGTCCCAGTACAAGTTTAATTATTTCTACAAATCTAAATATGATTTGATATATTTTACCAAGCATACAAAATTCAAAACTGTACACTGGAAATATCTTCTCAAATAAAAAGTTAGATTCTGAAAGGCAAGCTGTGAAGGATATGATGAAATGATGCCAGTTTTCTCTTCAAACAGGCGTGGCTCACATCTTCTTATATCCCAACTGCCTGTTGAATGACTCTAGTCTTTTTGTTCAGGCAGGTTGACTTTCTGGTAAAGGATTCTTTGTCTACCCAATGTATTGTGCAACCTAATGTAAGAGTGTGTAACTGTAATTGACCTGTAGAACTGGTGATACACCTTCTTAGCTTTACAGAAATCCAAGAGCATTATAAAAATGAATCTCCAATGACATTTATAGTAGTTACTTCATATAGCAGCTGATGATTCCTCCTTGAAGAGGAACTCTTTAAGTAGAAATTGCTAGTAGGTTTATGGTTCCCTGTATCTGAAATTTGGAGCATGATTCGTTGGTTTCTCCTTTCTGTATACATTTCTCACCCAAATTAAACAGGTTTGCAATTCTTCAGGTATATGAGGTACATAGAAAAATTATCTGGTGTAAATAATTTCATTCTGCAACGTTCCTTAAAATGATTTTTCTAATAGACAATGTCAAAGTCTGCCTCATTGCTAAATGACATTATTTTTTACATAAAATTAATGGAAATGGAATGGCATGATTAACTGAATGGTTCAAATAAGTGAAAATTACCATTTAAAAGAATATTAATTTTAAAAGGATTAAAATATAGTAAAATGCACTCAACACAAAATATACTAAATGTAACAATGTATGTGTGTGTGTGTGTGTTTTTTTGCTTTCCTAATTAATAGCATTCTTTCTTAAAGTATAGTGCCTTAAATGTCTTATTCTAGTTCCCCAAAAATACAGAATCTAAGACAAAAGCTTGCTTGCAGTAGTAGATCTGACAAAAAGAGAGTTGGCAGTTCTACCCCCATCCCATGGGACCTAAAGAACTATACTGCCATATGATTACACGTGGAAGCATTTTTCTATTGTCTCCAATCTTACTTTGGTCAGTGGCTCAACCAGTATAAATGCCTACATGTCCTAATTATAGATCACTGAATATTCTGTGGGTTTCTTCTGGAAGAAAATAATTAATATTAATAATTAATAATATTTAAATAAATATAAAAATAAATAATAATATTTAAATAAAATGTGCTGACTTGAGAAGGGCACCTATTACATTGACCTGAGCAAAGCTTATCCAAATTTACATGATCACCACAACTATCACATAAAGAAATGAGCCAAGATTTAAAGTGGTCATAAAAAGGTGTTAAATACATTTAGTTTTCTAGTGATATTGGTTCAGGATAATGGTAAAGGTCATCTTTTCTCATATATTTTAGTACTTTTCAGGACCAAGACTGCTTTTTCAAATAACTTAGGGTGCCAGGCATAGTGATGCACATCTGTAGTCCCAGCAGCACATGAGGCTGAGGCAGGAGGATCTAAGTCCAAAGCCAACCTTAGCAACTTAGTGAAGCCCTAAGCAACTTAACAAGTCTCTGTCTCTACATAAAAAAATAAAAGGGTTGGGCATGTGGCTCAGTGTTTGAATGTCCCTGGGTTCAATTCCTGGAAACTTAGGATAAAGAACTTGAGAGTCTTTTTAGAAACAGAATAATAAATACAAGGACTTTATTACTCTCTATGGCAATGTATGAACATAGAAATTATACATTCAAGATTGAATAAAATGATTATGCCTACAAAATGTTTCCAAAACAAAAAGTACTATTATTTAAATAAAATGTGTTTATAACTGTACATATTTTCATTTTCTTTTCTCTTGACTTTTAGATATTGCAATGCCGATAGCAGAAAATCTTCTTCATACCTGTAAGTTAATCAACAAAGAGTTGTTTTCTATTGAAATTTAATTGCCTTGAATGCCAAAAAGACCTCCATTTGAGAGTCAATGTTATTATACCAACAAAGGTGTAAAAAGGATGCCTGCTTTTAGAAACTTGTATAAAGGTTACTGCAGTTGCCTTACATTCATTGATACCATGGATTTAAAATTAGAAACACATTATCACATGCCATAATGGCAAGGAGACCTACTGACAAGCAATATAATTAAGAACCTATAATCTAAAATCAGCTACATATGAGTTTTGAGTCCCATCTGCTACTTATTAACTGCATAAATTTACATAGCTTACTTCTCAAAGCCTTAGTTCCAAATTGTTGTGAAGATAAAAATAAGGTGACACAAGCAATGTACTTATAAGAGCATAGTGCTCACAGTAAGCTCTCAGTACATGTCAGCTATCTGCATTTTCTGTTTTGCCTCTGAAAACTAAGCAGATATGTTTGTGCACAGGTGCCTTATGTGCAAGTAGCTTATCTTCCTCATACACCAAGACATTCTGCTTTCACTCTCCCACTGCCGGTACTGGGAAATATGATCCCCAGGGTTGCTGGAACCTGGTGCAAACTGTCGGGAAAAGCAATGCTTTTATCTGGGGTCTGAGACTAACTGGGGCAGCTGGATTAAAGGAATCACCCTCTAGAACCAGGTGACACTGACCCCATCACTTTTACTATATAGTTACTTCTGAGAAATTTGGGAAAAATTTAAACATGAGCTGTATTACACTTTTTTCTCTTTCATAGATATTGACTGAATAATCCTCAAGCAACTTAATAAGACATCTTAAAGTAAACTTTAAACTTTAGTACCCATAAGATCAAAATTCACATTTGGGAATTTGTCAGGTTCATAGGAAAGAAATAGTCAAGAAAGAAATAAGAACAGTGATAAGAATGAGATCATCCAATTTGTCTATCCTACAGCTAAAACACTATAGAACTCACATTCAGTATTTTGAATTTGACTTGGCCTACCTAGGATTTTAAAAAAGAGGAATAGTCAAGAAAAATCAAGCAAGATTTAAAGAAGAATAGAGTTTTGATATATAACATGATAAAGTGTATTAAAATACTGTAATAGAAAAAGGGAGTAGATATTAAAAGGGTAAAGAGACAATAAGAGCTCGGTAGATTTGCCAGTGTTTCTGAAAGTATCAACCAGCAATCTCTATTATATTCTTTAAATCCTTGAATTTACCATAAGATCTCTTTTGACATAACAAAGTTACAAGGCGCCACGTAGAACTTCAGCAAAGGTAATAACAAGGTATTACTGCAGAGGTGGTGGCTCAAAGCTTAGCAGACACAACAATCATGAGTAAATGAGAACTTAGAATGGAAGTTGACACATGGATAGAAATTAAGTGAGAATTATGAGTAAGAGCAAAAACAAGGAAGTCATCACCTAGGTGAAGTTCCTATTCCACAGAGAAGCATCTTTGTTTTTATATTCCTGTGAAGGAAGTAGAATAAAAGCCAACTTCCTTTAGGAGTTGTCCAAAAAGAAGGGAGGATAGGGAGGAACCATTATACCTCTGGGTTCTGGATTATGTGTTTTATCCTTTGTAGCGTCCATGATGAGGCAGTGGAAAGAAAAAGACAAAGAAAAGGGAGTTACAGTCAGTGAGTCAGTGTGAGGGCTCTCACTTAGAAATAGCAGCCACAGAGACTCCATCCAGTTCAGCTAAGTGATTCTTAATGAAGTGGAAGCCTTAACAACCTGAGAATAACCTAAAATTAAAAACATATAAATATATAAATATAAAAATATATAAATTTAAAAGACATTAGAGGGTCTCTAACGCCTTTTAAAATAGTCTAGATGACTCTTTCCTGTGCTTCTAATATCTTTCTAACTTCAGGAAAGAATATCTCAAAGTACATTTAGCATTCTGTATAATTAATATGCATCAACAAAAATATTTTATAAGCCCATTTCTAATAATAATTATTTGAACTTTTATTGCTTGTCATCTGTTATTCTCAAAGTACTTTACTAAAAATAGATAATCTGTGAAATTTGAGAAAAAAATCTTTATAAAGAAATTAAGCAGCTAATCTTTCCAATTTATTTATATATTCTAATTTTTTGTGTAAGTTGCTCTCTCTAATATGGGGTTGTCTCATCCTTAACACTATTGACAGAATCAAACATTCTTTTTTTCAGCAGCACTCCTGTTTAATACAGGATATTTAGCGGCTTCCCTGGATTTTATCCATTTGATACCCGTAGCCTCTCTGAAAAATACAAGTTGTGATAACAAAAATGTCTCTTACATTTCCAAATATTCCTAGGGAGATAATCTTCAAAAGTGACTCTGGTTAAGAGTCACTGTTTTAATCTATACACCTGCAATGATTATAGTAAGTTTTTGTGGGTTTTTTCCCCTACTCTCTAAATGCTTTAGAACATATCTATTAAAGAAAATAACTTTGTAATCAAGTATCATTTTTATTATACTTGGTTAATATTTGTTGAGCTCCTTCTATGTGCTAATGTTCTGTATGGTAAATTCTGCAGATACATTTTTTTAAAAGTTGTGATCCCTGCTTTCCATTAATGAGATAGTAAAAGGTACCATAAACTGTTAAAGAACAAACTTGGTATTTAGTTGGAGTAAAGTTAAGTTAATCAAGGGAATCAGAGACAAAACTAGATGGAAAGAATACAGCAAACTTGCTTTAAAAACTTCAGAGTCTAGAAGTTTCTCTGGATCTAAATAGACAATAAAGCATAGTCCCGATTCATAGAATCATGAAACTTTGGAAACTGGTTGGCTATCTCGATATGTCATTTATTTATATAGGTATTATGTATTGTGATGTTAGTGGGAATACATTTCAATCTATTTTGTGTCTCTTTAATATCTCTTTTACATTCTTGTTCACTCATACTTTCATAGGAATGTTTTCATAGCACTAATTCATTGCTAACTCACACCATTCACTAAAATTAAAATGCACACGTGTCCCTGTGCAATTCAGTAATGTAACAGTTATTTTCTTCAAAATTCAAACCTATAATTTGAATTTACCTCTTACATCAGGTCATAGTGAGGCCAAACAGATATACAAAGCATTTGTGAGTGATAGCTATAGGGGAAGACAATGTCAATCTATTTTTAATAAATTCTCAGTAAATCTCATGTCAGCAGTAAGTCTATCCTAACTTCTCCAACATGGTGAGATTTTCCTCAATCATTAATAGGGAGACATATTATGAGAAGTTTGTTTACTACAGCAAAATTAAGCAATATCAATACTGTTGAACTCTATTTTAAACAGGTTGTGGGCAACGCACAATAACTCGCTCTGGCAACAAAATTGCAGGGGGTCAGGATGCGGAGGAAGGTGAATGGCCCTGGCAAGCCAGCCTTCAACAGAACAGTGTCCACCGATGTGGAGCTACTCTGATTAGTAACAACTGGCTTATCACTGCTGCTCACTGTTTTATAAAGTAAGCTCTGGCCCGGATGAAGGTCTAAAAGTCACTCAAGTATCTAAAGTTCTAATAAATATATTTCAACAATGTGGTCATAAACTATACTTCCAACTCTTCAATATTGTGAAATATACCCTCAAAATTACTCAATGATTTATCAGTAAAATAATAGATATGGTCAGTTTAGAGGAAGATTTGTGGAGTGTCACTATTGGCAGTTTAGATAAGATAATTCTTTGTTATGGAAAGCTGTCCTGTACTGTGGAATATTAGCAGCATTCCTGCTCTGACATCAGCAGAATCCCTCAATATTGACAACCCAAAATGTCTCCAAACATTGCCAAATGTGGGGAGAAAGTGGACCCCTGCTGAGAACCACTAAGTTAGAGTTATTTACTTCAATTTTATAAAAGAAAACTTTAAATTCCAAATTGAACATGTATCTTATATTTCTTTTTCATCATTATAAAAGTTGGTTTCATTTATTTAATCATAAGTATTTTAATACATGTTCCCATAAATCTACAGCCTCATTTGAAATGATGATTTTTTAAAGATATATTATTACTCAAAAAGTATGGACTTTTTTTGCCTAAAAGATACTTACACTTTTGTTCAATGATTCTTTTCATTTTGTTTATTAAAAAGAAATCCTTGTCAACCCTGAATGACTCTCCTCAAAATCATGCTTGTTTATTATGTTTTTTAAGTAGGGTTTGAAAATGTTCTAGCAGCACTATTTGTAGTACTTAGTATACAAATCCTTGAATAAATAATAATAAGTCAAAAGTATTTTCTTTATAGTCTTTAATACTTGAAAGAGTATTTAGACTATTTCTTTAATTTCCACAAATGCATTCTTTTCATATATCTGTGCTCACTTTTTACTTAATATTGTCTTATGTTGTCATATTTATCTTTCTAGATCTCTCTTTAGTATTTTTGGTATGTTCTATTTCAACTAAGAAATAAAATATAGTTTCTCCGGGTTATCTTTTATAAGACAGTAAACAGATATTCCAAATCTCATCTTTTATCATTATTTTTATATTTTCTTTTACATGTAGCTTAATTTTGGCATGTTTAAAAGTACTATTGGGACTCCCACATACCTAATTATTTTTAAAAGATTAAGTCCTACAACTCTGAAATATAGTATCTTTAATTATTTTTTTTTCTTTAGGGAAAATAATCCCAAAGACTGGAATGTCAGTTTTGGGCTTCTTTTAAGTGATCCAAAAACACAACGAACTATCAAGGATATTATAATTCATGAGAACTACCATTACCCTGCACACGATAATGACATTGCTGTTGTGCATCTGTCTTCACCAGTATTGTATACAAGCAATATCCGAAGAGCATGTCTTCCAGAAGCTACTTATAAATTCCCACCCAATTCAGAAATGGTAGTCACTGGATGGGGAACATTAAAGTCTGACGGTGAGTTTTGAACCTCTCTCCATTACATGGCTTGAGTTTTAAGAGCTAAAAATAATCTACTCAGAATTAAAACAATCTGAAAAACACTTTCTCTGGATCATTTCACAGATAATGTGCAATGGATTGAAAATGATCCTCAACATAATTCATGCAAAACTCTTAATTTCATAGAGCTGTTTATCATAATTCCTCTAAAAATGGCAGTTTTTATAGAAATTTATTATTTAGATACACAATTTATTTTCCACCATTTCATTCATTCATTGAATAAACATTTATTTTGATTATGGTCTGGATACTTTAAAAGATAAAATAGACAAATACCTCAACCTATTTTCTTAGTAAGGAACAAGTTTTTGTTCTCAATAAAGAAAAACAAAAATTTCAAAATATAAGAAAGAAGTATAAACATATATATTATGTGTCATGCATGTAAGCGCCAAAGGAAAAAATAAGGACTCCAAAAGATTGAGCACTTTCAATGCAATGAGAAGAGTAGCCCTCATAAGTAGGTGATACTTGAGTAAGGTCCATTTATATAAGTGCATCCTTATGACCCTAGTGATAGAAATATTTAGTGGCTACTTGTGTTCATATATGTATTTTAAAAAGAGAAAAATAAAGTTAAAATTAATTCTAAGATTCAGAATTATAGTAATAAACAATTGAAAACCTAAAAATGATCATGAAATTTATCTTCTGGGATATGAATTTTGAATTTTGCTTTCTAAGGCATATATGTAGTAAGTATAAAATTCTAAAAACAATTTTTAAACACTCTCATCACACTCTATGTCTAAGTGTGATAATTAAATTACTAATTTTATTTAGTGTGTTCATAAATATCACTTGCTTCTTTGTTACTAAAAAAGAAGAAAAATAAAGGTTTAATAAACATGTTTTATGTTGATTTAGAAATTGTACATAGTGTTAAAAGTTAGATACTAGTAACTTAGCCAGAGAAATTAATATTGGTTTTAGGAAAAATAAACAATTTCCTTCCTTTAGGAAAAAGTCCTAATATACTCCAAAAAGGATCAGTGAAGATTATAGATAATGAGACCTGTAACAGTGGAAAGGCATATGGTGGAGTTGTCACACCTGGAATGTTGTGTGCTGGGTTCCTGGAGGGACGTGTGGATGCCTGTCAGGTAAATCTGCCTAGTCCACTTTCCAAAATTTTTTCTTATAGTTTTAAATTTGCAATTAACCAATTCAATTTTCTCAGTTTTTAACAGCTTACATATGTTGCATAGCCAAAGAGTCTAATTAAAATTATAGTGATATCATTTAGGACTCATTAGAATACTGAAATTCTAAATCACTCAATCTAAGAAGTAGTGAATGGAAATAGGAAAAGGACTCAATTAGGCTTAACAATGAAGAGAAAAACAGGTTACTAGTAACTTTATTTTGCTCTTTGAGACACACTGAACTGGTCTGGTAAAAACCTATATATTGGAGCTCTCATAATTTGGCTCCAACATTCTAAATATTTATTTATTTAACAATACTTACATGGCAACCCCATGTGCCAGAAGTTCTTTACAAATATTAATTTATTCTAGTTATGGAAATTCTCTGTTACATGTTCGTATTATTTTAAACCAAATTTCTCAGATGAGGAGACTGAGACAAAGAGATCAAGTAACTTGTGTAAACTCACACAACCAGTAAGTAACAGAACTAGAATTTCAATGCAGTATATTTGACTCTTGTGCCCATACTCTGAACTCTACTAAGTTTCCATTGATTTTACTTAATGTGCCTCTTATGCTCCTATTGCTGTTTATAAGCAATAGTCCTAAAGCTATCAAAAGTACTACTGTAGTTATTTAGGCAGGCAGAATCAGTGATAAGATCAGGAAGAATCTCATTTTATTCTTCCATTCTTACACATAGTGATTATTTATTTACTACTATGTGCCAGATCCTGTGCTATGTAAAGGAAAATTAAAATGAATGGAGCACATTTTTACATTCTAGGAGCCAGTGAACTTGCAAGCAAGTGTATACGATATATAATTATTATCTCTAATAACAGATTTCCATCTTTACAGTTGTTCCACTAGCTAAACCTATTCTTTGATAAGAGGCACTTAAACCCCCTTCCTTCAATTTTCTCTCAGTCCATTACCCCCCAGCCTCACGACTCCTAACTTTATGAAACCTAGAACCCACATTTTATTATTTCAACCACTCTGTTTACAATAACCTCAAAAACTTAATCTTCTACTCCTCCCACACCTGACTTACTATCTTCAATCACAAAGTAGTCTACCATCTTTCTTTGCTCTTACATGAGCACACATAGAAGAAATTTTACCTTCTTGTAAACAGCAGTCATTTACTCATAGATAGGTCTAATATTATAATTCTTTAATGAATCTCTCATTGTGCTAAGTCGAACCTTTATTATATTCTTTACCTATCTATCCCACTACGCCCATATTTTTCTTAACATATGATATCTCACTGAAATATTTTCCAGTGAAACAGAGTACAACAATGGTTGGCAGAGAGGTGAGGGAAATGGAGGGATGTTGTTCAAAGGGTATAAAACTTTTAGTTATAAAATTAATAAGTTATGGGGACCTTATATATAGGGTAGTGACTTAATAATTATGCATTGTATACTTGAAATTTTCTATGAAAGTAGATTTCATACAAAACATAAATATATGACATGATGAACAAGTTAATTCATGTAATTGAGCAAATTGTTGCACAATGTATTTATATATCAAAACATCACATTATACACTTTAAATACAGGCAATGTTTATTTGTCAATCATACTTCAATTCAAAAACATATAAAATACATCCGTCTGTCTGAAAAGAAGGATACAGAGATGTGGACTTACATAAGTGAGCTGAGAAGTCGAAAGGGACAAGACAAGGAACAGAGGGTTTGCCAAGTGTTATTTTCCACTGACTCTAAGAATTATGCTAGGTTCCAGGCAATAGAACAAGATTTTTTAAACTATGAAATGACAAGAGTTTGTAATGGTGGCCTGAGAAATGAGAAATTGACTAGAGACACAAAAAAAATTTCTGAGAGGAAATTTTGTAACATGATTTTATTTCCCAGTGTATGGGTGAGCACAGGCTATGATGGGGAGGGTGGTAAGAACCTGAAGATACTGTTGATAAGAGTAGGGATATGGATGAATCAAAGAATGTAACCTGCATAATGAAAGATAGAAGGAGAAGAAGACCTGATATACTAATAGGAAGGTGAAGAGAGAATTGGTATTCATAGTGAGGTTGAAAAGCAGATGCAGGGCATCATTGGAATAAGTCAAAAAAGGGTTGGTACATAGAATCATAATGCTGAATAATGGTGTTTCAGAAGTGGAGCAGTTCCAGGTAATGACAAGGAGTGATGTAAATAAATGTGTAAATGATCAAAGCCAGGGAAGCCAAGACACTGTGGGCCAAGATGCATCCTATAATGCATGTTAAAATCATCTAGGATGATAGAAAAAAATAGAGCAAAGGGAAATCTAAATGCTAAGAAATGTTCCATCACTCGGGGAATGGGCTAAAGATTAATGGATGAAAATTATAACAAGTTATAGAGAGGAGTTAGACAAATTATACAATTCTGGAAATGGAAGCAAAATTTAAAAACAGATGAAGAGCAATAGTCCAGTGTTGGCACTCAATAAATACAAATCTTCCCTTTTTTCCAGTATCTGTCTGGAAATAAGGAACATGCAGAGATCTATCAGAGTTCCTCAATATACTGATAACTGCATAAGCAATAATACATTCAGTAGCTCCTCTGTATAATGCCCGAATTGAAACTTTCATATGTGTTTTCCATTTTTATATTGTTATATCCAAATATATATTTGAATTTAAGTAAATGAGCATATGGCAAAGAATATTCTAGACTAAATCATTTTAGTTTTGAAATATCTAGGGTTCTTTTTTCCTCTTCTGCTGTTTTTCCCTATTCTTACTAAAAAAAGAAAAATAAGCAATATTCACCTTTAAAACATAGTAATTGTATACATCCTTTTTCTCTCTAGGGTGATTCTGGTGGACCATTGGTTAGCGCAGATTCAAAAGGTACCTGGTTCCTTGCTGGTATTGTAAGCTGGGGAGATGAATGTGCTCTTCCAAACAAGCCTGGTGTCTACACTCGAGTGACATACTATCGAGACTGGATCATGTCCAAAACTGGTCTATAGGGTAGAAGTCCTCTGTAGATTAAAGCTTAACAATGCTTGCTAAAAATGTTTCTAATTCCAGACCACATTTAACGTAGATATTACCTGTTCTTCATATTTAATGAAATTTAAACACATATAATTTTAGAAATATGAAAACTTCTTTATGAAACTATGAACCAAGACATACAATTTTCCTCTTTACCCCTTTCTAGCTTGAAAGTAATTATGTGAATAAATATGTTTTCAGTTTATTAAGGAACTATTCCTTAATGATTTACAGATCCAAATCTTTTGGAAAATCACTGAATAGATTTTATCAATAAACTCCCTTCTGAAAGTAGAAACAATCCTCTGCTGACAAGCACATGGATTCCACAGGATCAATGTATTTGTAATGTTGCCATCCAGTGAGTTGCAATAATACTATCTATAAGAATTACTCAGGAAAACCTGTCTAACTCTTTTCTTTCTGGTCCTTTTGCCAATGCTGATCCCTTCTCAGTTTCTTCACGTTCTGGGACAGAAAATAACAAGATAATGCCATATGGTACTCTTTTGAGTTTGAAAGTGATGTCTGTACATGATTCTCACTTACACACAATAGGAATGATATCCTCAGACATGTGGGCTTCATTTTCAACATGCAAATAATGACATATTGCATATCTCTAAACTCTTAAAATTTCTCAATAATACAAAGTATCCACCAGGATAAGTAATAGTAAAATTTTGCCTCCACTTCAATCTCTTTTGACCCATACAGAGACATCCTAGCTGTGGGTACATGTGTCCATAAATGTACTATTCTGCCAAATCATCAGGTTAGTTGCCATTTATCCAAAATATTGTCTCCTCCAGGTGCTTTCTTAGACAGTAGTCCATCACTGTCTCTATAGGAGGTTTTCTTTCTCCTTTACATCACTAACAATTTACAGCTACTACTAACTTCCACCATGATGTAAATTTTTTCATAACATCCCCAAATTACATTAATAATAATAGTTAATATTTATTAAGTCTTTACTAGTCTTTACCAGGCACACTTTATGTGTATTATTACATTGAACCTACCCAAAAAAACTCAGGTTGATTGTTCCCTTGATATATCAATTTTATCAGTAAAGAAATTGAGGTATAGAAAGTCAAGTAACTTTCTGAAAATCAGAGTTTATAATTGACTAAGCTGAGATTCAAAATCAGACTACTATATCCCAGAGCTCAGACTTGTAACAACAAAGTTATGTTATGTGATATTATTATAACTAGGACTATAACAAGTATAGTATTATAAAATGTAACATTTTTTCAGAAACCTAATTGATAAATTAGTACTATTGCTTTATTAAATACTTTGACATATCTTGTTATATATTCATAAGAATATGCATTTCTATCATTTGATGTTTTAGAAATTGAGGGTAAACAAAATAAAACTATATGCACATCAGTGAAGATTGACCTAGCATTGATCCAGGTACCACTCTTGTGATTAAGGAGGTAGAGAACTCTTGATTGACAAAACTTGAATTCTCATAGGGGCATTTCCAGAAAAAAAAATGCTAGATAGACTTTTTAAAAATAATAGCTATCCATTACCCAATGCTGCCTTCTGAGTAAATAAAATGTTACTCAAAATCATATAATCTCGCAATAAACAGATTCTGTACTCTCATGTGTTATTGAGTTATAAGTCACAGATTTTTCATGTTATTCATATTCTGCTATCTTGGAAAGAGCAATATGGACTAGTGACTTGAGCAGCAAGTATTCCTCTTTACATAATTTATGTATGTATGAAAGGAGTACAAAATTCCTATGAGGAAAAAAAGTACAAAATGTTTCATTTTTTATTTAGAAAATAATTTCACATGTGGACAGATACATTAAGTTAGCAAAATTTTAGAATGTGTCTCCAGATAAGACTGGCTTGCATGAACCCACCAGCATGATGATATGCTGTATAATAATAGATTCCCTTTTCCTCTGTACAAGTCAAAAATAGGAAGTAATGACAGTGATAAAGGTGTCCCTCCCCACCTGGGAACCAGTGTCATAATCATTGGGTCTCTTCAAATTTGAGCATTTCTGCTAGAAATGGTATATAAAAAGAGTTCATGGTGAGAACACATGCAAAAGAATTAAATTGAACCATTATTTCATAAAGAAAAATTAACTAAAAATTAATTAAAAACTTAAACCAAAAGGCTTCTGTATTGTAAAGAAAATAATCAAAATTTGAAAAGACAAAGTACAAAAGAGAAAAAAATACCTACAAACCATAGTATCTTATTCTGGTATAATAACCATATATCCAAATATATAAAAAAACTCACACAATGCAGTACTGAAAAGAAAAATCAATAACTTGATTTTTAAAAGAGTTAAATAGTCTGATAATACTTTTTTCAAAGAAGACAAACATACAGATGCCTACCATGTACTTGCAAAAGTGGTCAACACGACTAATACAAAAGTGAAAATTAAGACCATAGTGAGGTATCTTTCAATACTGTTAGAATTGCTATTATCAAAAAGAGAGCAGATAAAAAGTGTTAGCAAAGGTATGGGGAAAGAATGACACTTGTACATTGTTGGTGGGAATATAAATTGTCTAAAGAAATTAAAAACAGGCTTACCATATGATCCAGCAATCCCACTATGGGGCATATATGCAAAGGAATTGAAATCAGTATTTCAGAGATATTTACACCCCATTTTCACTACAACATTAAGCTAGATATGGAAATAATTTATCTATAAGGGAAAATGGATTTTAAAAATGTGGTATACACTTACACATAATAGAATGGTATTGAGCCATAGAAGAAAAGGAAATAATGCTATTATGACAAAAGGGACAAACCTGGAGAACATTATACCAAACAAAGAAAAACAAATATTGAGTGATATCTATTGTATATGGAAAATGACAAACCCCAAAATAGTGTGGCCTGGGGAGAGGGAATGAGAGAAATGGCAATACATTGATCCTTTCCCAATACATTCTTTCCCATTGATGAGACAGGCTCCAGGGAAGAGGTATTAGCCTCTGGGAAGAGGGCAAAGCATTGATCCTTCACAAACCAAATCCTTCCTCAGGTCCTCCATCTGGCCCAACAAAGACAAATTCCAGATACTAACCACTGACCCCAGACAAGCCCCCCACACACACACACATCTCACCTAGTAAAACAGAGCCCAAATTCCTGAGTATCCAAACTGACACACTCATTAATCAAGTTACCTCTCAGCATAACCTATTAAGCACAGACTCCTTCTTTGGGCAGTGGCTCATTTTCCACTAGGAAAGTGGGTCCATCAGAGGCATGACTCCGTTCCTGAATAAAGGCTTTTGCTGAAGTTTGTGCCTGGCCTGGTCCTTTTGTGCTAACAATATCCTTTATATGTACAATATAAAAATGTTGAACTCATACAAACAGGGTAGAATGGTAGTTGCCAAGGGCTGGAGGTTGGGATAAACAGAGTGTTAGTGAAAGAATACAAACTTTCAGTTATAATATGGACAAGTTCTGTGGATCTAAAAATACAAAGGTGGTAGCAGGTGTGTTAATTTGATTATAATAATCATTTTATACACACACATATTAATTCATTACATTTTACACCTTGGATATATACAACATTATCAATAAATATTCTAAAATAAGAATTTTGAAATATTGGAAAATCAATACACTGAATATAAATATCAGGTTTATTAGGTGAATTAAACATCATACAGATATCACTACAATTTCTGCGTGTTTAAATATACTTCTCCTTACTAGAAAATGAGTAAAATTTTAATGAACTTAAGCTTAACATCTCAGTTGGTTTCTTCTTTTACCTTCTTAAGCCCCATGCCTGTACCCTGCATCTCTTTGTTTTTTTAGAATTTTTTAAAAATTTTAATTTGTTATATATGAGAACAGAATGCATTACAATTCATATTGCACATATATAGCACAATTTTTCATATCTCTGGTTGCCCACAAAGTAGAATCACATCCTTCATGTCTTCATACAAGTACTTAGGGTAATGATGACCATCACATTCACTGCCTTTCCTACCTCTGTGCCCCCTCCATTCCTCTCCTTCCCCTTTCCCCTTTGCCCTATCTAGAGTTCATTTAATCCTCCCATTTCCCCCTCCCCAGAGCATGTTATGAATCAGCATCCTTAAATCAGAGACATAGGCAGAGGCAATTAAATAAATCATAAAAACATTATTTTTCCAAAAAATACTATATTTTAAATATTTGTTAACTTATACTAATATTTCTAAGCTAATTTCAGTGGCACTATAACATACTCCTGCCATGTTGCTATTCTTACTATGATACCATATAAAATTAAATCTTTTTATTTTTTAATTTATTTTTTTAATTTTTATTATTATTATTTTTTTCTCTTATTTTTTTTTAAGTTTTTTATTGTTGGTTATTCAAAACATTACATAGTTCTTGATATATCATATTTCACCCTTTGATTCAAGTGGGTTATGAGCTCCCATTTTTACCCCATATACAGATTGCAGAATCACATCAGTTACACATCCATTGATTTACATATTGCCATACTAGTGTCTGTTG